TGAAATATGGAACTGAAATATAAAGTTAAAACTCGAAACTAATAGGCATGGGTGATGACAAAATGACCAAGCCAAGCAACTTAGACCTTACCATTAGTAGCCATTAACCGTTTAATACTCAATTACTTATGTTGCAACTTTGAGAAACTCTACAAACATTATTTGAAATACACAAATAAAACAAACAAAAATAAATTAAAACCATTTACAATTAAAAAGATGTAACGTAATAATATTTTATAAAATAAATTTTACTAGATTCAATTTCGTCATAGAACTCCGTCTCTCGATGCAAATTCTGTCTTTAGTTACTCTCAAAGGCCTAGAATCTTCTCATAACCAATTTTGGGTACAAATAAAAGCCTCAACTGTTGTAGGAGTTAATGAACTCCTAAAACAATCAAGAAAGCGCCATCCATTACTAAATGCCGACTCAGAAGCATTGTTGATATAGGAATAACAAGCACATCTTTTGGAGTTTTCGCACAGAAAAGTTGTATTGTTTGAGGTTTGAGGGATTAGGAATTTAGGAAGGAGTCTAGAGGTGTTTGGAACTTTGAGGGTTTGAATTTAAAATAATGCATTGAAGAATTTTAAACACAAATATTGAATACAATTAAAATTAATGGGCTCAACACGTTTTATGGGCTGTATCAAAATAAAGGCTATTGGGTTTGTTTCAATTAACATAAAATCAAATTCATACAAAAAAATAAAATTATAAATTAAATTTGGTTCTTGGTTCTAGAATCAGAACCGAACCAAACTATAACCAATTGGTTTTTTGTTCGAAGAACTAAACCTATTAATTTTTTTGTGTAGAACCGAATCGAACCGCTTGGTTTGGTTCGGTTCGATTCTGGTTCGGTTTGGTGTCGTCTGTACATTTTGTCCACCCCTAATCTCAAGCCAATTTCATTAATCTTGCTTTCATGTGTGCCAACAATCCAATTAATCTTGCTCTCGAATAACACTAATTCTATGCATATGCTCGAATTAGCTATATCTCTATG